CCCCCCCCCCCCCCCCCCCCAGAACCCTCAAACAAACCAACAATGACACCTAACATTTTCCTCTCTCCCCAGCAAACGAACGCACCTTCCTCGGCTACCTCCGAACCTCCGTAGCCCTATCCATGCTCGGAACGATGATAGCCCAACTCTACCGCCTGCAGCACTCCCCCAAACCCAACCCTGTTTTCGGGTACTTCGTCCTCGGCAAGCCGATCTCAGCCATTCTGCAGTGTATGGCACTATGCATGCTGTTACTCGGTGCGATAAGATATTTTCGACAGCAGGCGGCGATGGCGAGGGGGAGGGTGTATGCGGGAGGGTGGGAGATGTGGGTGATTGTTGGGGGGATGAGTTTGGTGAGTCGTGATTTTTATTTGAGATTATTGGGGGGGAGGGGAGGGGAGGTGGATGTGAGGGGTGGGGTGGTGGTGGTGGTGTAAGATCTTATCAGAGGATGGATGGTGAGATGAGGAGCAATTTTCCCTCCATCAGGTCTGGGAGTCAGCATGTGTGCGCCGACTTGAATACCAGAGGGCGTTGAACTTGGGGAATTGCAACAATTTTGATGCAATTCCATGGAAGAAATGACGAAAAAAAAGAATGCTGGCCATCAGATTTTGGGAACAGGAGTCCACTTGTTCATCGCAAAAAGGAGAGACCGCACACCCACCCTTTCAAGCAGGCGTCGAAAAGATGACAAAGCTTCCAGCAACTTACCATTGCAGTGATTGACGCATTTCTCACACGAATTTCAGCTAACATGTTGCCACGGCTGTAGTTAATGTTCGCCCTCTTCGCTCTACACATCGCCCTCGACGTGACGAGATGAAAGCCGATCCAGTTCACGTACACTATGAAGACGAGGGGACACCTCACGATCAAGCAATGTCCACAAGTGCATCCTCAGCATACATACTCATCACGCCGAAAGAGATGATGATGATGGACATGGAATCGAACCAAGTGCGCGCACGCCCAACGTGGCTTCTGATGAGCAAGTTGGGAGGGGCAGTATTAGGCGATATTTGCAGGGAAGACGGGAAGACGGCAGAGGAGGATTCTTCGTGAATGACCAGCAGACCAGTGTCGTGCCGCTTCGGCGCTTCGTGTCAGCCAAAACACGGCTGCTTCGTGAGCGGCACGAACGATCGACGGGAAGATGCTGGGTCATGGCACGCTTTGTGTTATCACCTCCGAGATATACGGTGCTGTCTGCTCCTATGATCGATCATTGCTGCTTCGATTCGGCTTTCGATGGATAGATATGATGCCGGGATGCCGGATATTTTAGAGAATCTCAGTCAGACGAGAGATTTTGAGATATCGCGCATATCGAAGGTGATAGGCCTAAGAATGGCCATCTGTTCAATCAGGATCAATCGTTCGTCATCAGACTTGTGGAATCTCTGGTGCACATTGAAAGCGCCGCGCCAGCCCGCTTCACCTGCAATCGCGCTTCAATGAACTCAATTATGCGTCTACCGAGACATGGGCGTTTGATGAGGCTTTGTAAGTGTGTACTGTACTTCGATACAAGGCTGCGAGCCAAGTCGAGTCAGTCACAGTCATCCAAACTCAATTTCGTGTTCCGGGCGCCTACCGAGACATCAACGGCCTATCCAACGTTGATACTCGACTAGTGCTTTCACAGAAATTTTGCATCCACCGAGCTGCTCATTACAGGGCGGCACGCGGCGATGTTGAGTGCATCGGTGCAAAAGTAAATGCTGGTGCAATCGCTATTCACGCAAGCCTTTTGAAATGGTATGGTGTCGTCGAGAAAGCTTCCAGTGCAATGACGGACGTCAGAAAACCCCTTGTCGTCCGTACATGCTAAATCTTATAGGTTTCGTTTCCAGAATTGGGAAGTCTTTGCAGTGCAGATAGGCAGGCAGCGGATTTCTCGAAGCATTTCAGTATTCCCGTGAAGTTGAACGGTTTCTGCCTCTGAAGCTTGGCAGAAGGCCGTCAAATCTCACAAGGCCGCATCCTCGTTCCCACGAGGCATTTGGCGTCAAGCGAGGGTTCTGAAGAAGACGGTCGTCTGCGTTCGGCGTCGTTCCCGTTTGCTTGCATGCCTGAGTGATCGACACTGCACCTAGTAAGCTGGTCCGAGTGGAGGACAAGAGGCCCAAGCGGGCGTACAAGGATTTGTGATTCTGGGTGACGCCTGTTAATGTGATACAGGTGTGATGGAAGTTGCACAAATGGAGAAGGTTGGATGGCATGATGAGGATGCTGTACGACCGCCCGCGCAGATGGATGGAATTACCGAGACAGCATGATGATGCGGATGTCATTGTCACACTTGGGACGATGCAGTCCAGTGGGAGGTGGGCGGTATGCTGAGCTTCGATGTGGTGAGCTTCAAGAGGCGCCTCTCCTGAAACTTTATTTGAACTCCAGATCTTGTTGGATTAAGCAGATTGGTGGATTATTGCATCAGATGTGTAGGGTTGATGGTGGGTGGGAGGGGGTGGTGAGAGCTGAGACTTGGCGATTGTGAGAGCTGGCCCAACAAGGCCAGTGGACGAGATGTTGGTTGCTCAAAGCGGTGGGCTTTGCAATTGATGATTCTTGCTCCTACCAATGGAAGTCGCAATGGCCATTTCGAGCAGGCGACTGGTTGCGTAGGAATTGCGCTAGCAGGCTGGACAGGACGCGAATCCTTCCGAAGACGCCACGACTGATGCCTGGAGGTGGACAGGCAGTTTTACGCGTATGGAGATGTTGCCGGGCTTGATAGGAACGAGGTGAACACGAAAGCAGATATCGATATCGCGTTCGACGAGTTGCGTGCGTGAAGCAGGGTGACGAAGGCCTGACGAAGCTGGTGCTATTTTGCGACACGATCGGAAGTGTAGCACGGTGTGTCGGAAGTTGTGCTCTGAGACACGTTCGCTGCTTGCTGAGCTCCACCGCTTGCCACATTGGATGCGGTCGCTTCCGATCGCGAAGCAGTGTGCAGACTGCAAGCGACAGCGCGTGCTATTCTATGCTTGGCGGTGGTGACAAGCATCACCGCCGTTCTCAGCGGGCTATGCAATATCGAGCTCGGATGGGGCGCAGTCGGATGTAATGTACACGGCCGTCGATGCCGTCGACGACATGGTCTTGTCTCTCCCGTGCCGTGGAAGAGATGCGCATTTCGCGTGCCGCCGTGGTCGTGCTCGTTGGCGGAGGCGAGAAGTCGCAGTGTGACTGTTCGGACACGGCGCTCGAATCAGAAGGGATGGTAGGGATTGTGCGGGAAGCGGCTTGGCGTCGGCAGCCAGAACTAGTCTCGCCAGGGCCTATTCTGTAGGCCAGGAACGCTGCGTCCCACGAGCGTCTCAGCGGCCGCGAGTGACGGGACCGAATATAATACCGTATGCACGGTGCAGGCCTACATAGCGCGGGCCTTCCGCAACGGACTCGGTGAGATATAGAAGTCCGCGCCGTAGTGTACGTGACTGTAGAAAACGTAATCTCGTCGTCGGCGCGCGTTGCTATTGCTAGGTCGACGGTATATAAAGGGGTAGGAGTAGTACGATTTCTACTTATATACTAAGTATCGATAGTAAGAGGGTAGCGTATAGCATTTAATAGCGAATTTAGTAAGATTTGTGCTGCTTTAACGACCCCGCAATCTCTACTAATAGATACTAGGTATATTACTAAAAATAAAGCTAAAGTTTATTAGTAAAATAGCGGTATAGTAAAATTTAAGGTATAGTTAGCGATTATTGCTATTTTACTACTATTTTAATAGCGTTAATATATATTAGAGAGCGGCGGTATATAAGGTATACTACTATAGACTGTTATCGCGCTCGGAGATATATATTACTACCTATTTATCGCTAGTAGTATTAGTAGAGGTATATAAGGACTATAAGTTACTACCGCGGTAGTATCTATATCGCTTACTACCGCGCTAGTAGTAGTAAGCGGCATAGAATACGCGTTAGTACTAACTAGAACCGCTAGCTGCGGCTTAGAACTAAAAATACGCGTATTTGTCGCTTATAGTATTCCTAATAGTACCTATAATAGTTCTGCCTCTTTCTCGGACCTCTTACGCTTCCGGCTCTTACTCTATATCGCGTCTACCGGTAGTAGATTAAGAGGGTAGTAGTGTTGTAGTGTTGTGTTATTAGGTAATAGCGCTTGTAGTAGCGCTAGCTTTATAGAAGATAGTATAACCTCGCGGTTAGGTCGTTATTTATTAAAAGCACATATAAATAACTCGGTAAACTAGCGCCTTATATTATTGCCTACTTTATAGAAGATATAGATAGCGTCTTATATTATAGTAGCGCGCTTAATATCGTCGTCGTTAAGGCCTTCTTCGTCGCACTTACGCTCTAATTTAAAGATTATCTCGTAATAGTCGTTTATTGTTTTATAGATCTCGAGACGATAGCTATTATTAACGATAGCCGCTATCGCCGTCGCTATCGCCGTTATAGTTATATTAGCTTATAAAGTAAGGTTATTAGCCTTTATTAGAGTCTCGCAGATCTCGAGTCTACGCCCTTTAAATATGCTAATCTAGTAATACTAGTAGCGCTCTTTAATAAGGGTACGGTAGAGCTAAATATAATAAAACTAAAAATAGAAGTAAAGGACGTACTATTGCCTAAAGAAGCGATAGTTATAGGTTAGTAGACTAGACGCGTTATACTTAGCAAGGGCGATAGGATCGTAGAATACTATAGAATCGTTAGCGCGATTAATCTTAGCGCTAACCTTACGCTATATAGGCTATAGTAGGCATAGAAGGTATTCTCTAAGCTCGTTGTCGTCTCTGCGAGTAAAAGGATATATATTAACGGTCTAGCGGCGCTTAATAAGGAGAGAGTAGAGATCTTTATTAGCGACTTTTTAGAATATATATATTATAACGCTAACTAGTAAATAGTCCGCTACTATAGGCGACTTCTCGTCTAATTTAAGGCACGCGTAGAAGCTCTCGTTTATATTAGTATCCTTATTTTACTCGATAATTAGTAGTATATTAAATATATAAAAGTAGTTTACTTATAACGCGATATCCTTACCTATTTCTACCTCTAAATATAGCTTGTTCTTCTCGTAGTTAGCGTTTCGAGGAAGGCTCGAAATAACGGCTTATAGTAACTCTTTCGCGCCTTTAAGCGACCGATAATAGATAACCGCGGCTTTAATATAGCGACGCGTCTTAGCGTAGATTTTACTACTAAAGTAACGGTTAATAGTACGCTAGACGTAGACGTAGCAAAGGAGGTTACTAGAGGTGTTTAGTAGTAGGAAACGCTATTCGAATAGCTCGTCGCTTAGTAGCTAAGTCGTCTATTAGTATATAAATTAGAAACTACCTATACTAGTACCTTATTATACGAAGGAAGGCAGCGACAATATCGCTATTATTAGTAGGAGATAGTATATAAGCTACCGCGCGTATTATGCTATATTTGTCCTTAATATAGATAGTATAAAGATACTAACCTAGGGAATTAGTCTTATATATAGTATCTATAAAAGCGATAACTTAGTGCTATCGGAGCAGTTCTAGGCCGGTTTTAGACGCAAATATAATGCTATACGCAATCTCGCTATTAATCTGTCTTTTAACTAATGCTATCTCGTATTTATAACTAACTATCGCGTTAAATTAGTAATTATTATAATAGAAAACTAAAATTAAAACAAAAGAATCTAAAGTTTAGTATTCGGCCTACTAAGACGCGCTAGAAGCCGGACCGAGCTATTGCTAGAGCTTCTAAATTATCTTATTAGCTCGAAGCTAAGGCTCTACGGCGCTGCCGCTTTAAGCGAAGAACTTTAAAGTCCTAAGATTCTAGCTTTTCGTAAAGAATTCGTAGGCAACTAAGTCTAATATCTTCTTCTATCGATTACTATCGATTTAATAAGTTAGACGCGATTACGTATCGATCTATTAGTTAATCGGAGTCCGGATACGCGGGCGCGACGGTCCGCCGAGTAGAATTCTAACCTTACTCTATAGTCGAGATAATAATATAAATTTAACTTATACTATTTATATTACTATAATACGTCTTTTTGCTAAGTTTGCTATATAAGTAACGCGCCGCCGAGTTTGCTAGACTTATACGTAGTAAGGAAGTTCCTTCCGGAATTAAGTATATCGTGTTTTCGTAAGAATAAGCTACCGGTATCCTTAAAGCGCTAGTACGCGATTAGGTCGTATTATGCCTTTAAATAATAGTATACCTACGAAGGGCGGTATCTATAGCAGATCTTATATCTAGCTATACTTAAGAGCGCGCTATACCGTCGGAAATTATTAAAGTTATTTAGTTAGCAATCTTAGTAGTATTCTTTATAACTAACGTATTAAATATAATACGATACTACCTCTTCCTTACTTGTCTTCTTATTCTAACTACAGATACTAATAACCTTTATTATTATAGGACAACTACGCGCTAGCTCTATCTTCTTCTTATTCTTATTAAAATACCGACTTTTCGACTTATTAGCCTTCTAACCCTACTTCTTATAAAAGCGATAAGTATAGCGTATCGTCTCGGTACTATTACGTTTAAAATACTACGCTTTATCGACGACCTAGATATTATCGACGTATAGTTTAAACGTATACTAATCTTTTACTAATAGAATAAACGAGTCTAATATATTATATAGAATATACCGCTAGCGCTAGTATTTAAGGTCGTCGATATAAGAGAGATATGCGAATATAGTACCCTCGAGCGGTTTTAATATCCGGGACTTCGTACTACGCCGAAGGCGTTTATTAGAGGAGTTATTAACTTATTACTAGTTTCTTTACTAAAATTATCGCTTTCTTCCTTTTTAGATACGTCTGCTATATTCTCGTCGCTTTCGAGCGTAAAATCGCCCTAGGTAGCCTCCGCTATAACCTCCGCCGCCGGCGCTAGTAAATTTAATCGAATAGAAGCTATATCGTATAAAGAGGAGGTAATATCGATAAATACTAGTAATCTTAGTAATAGAAACGATAAAAGAGCTAGGTCTATAGATACGGAGGAGTATTAACAAAACAATAGCATACGTCGCGCGTAGGAGAAGCTAGGCGGAAGTCGGGCGGACCTTCAACTATTTACCGACACCGTACGCACGGACTACATACGCATGCGGTATTATATTCGCCTCCCGAATGACTTGCGCAGCGTCTCCATCTCCATCTCCATCGCTGCTGGCTGGCTGGCTGTCAAACTGCGCCCACTCGCGCCTGCATTGTCTCGACGGCCAGGACTGCCAGGGCCAGTGGTGGGGCGCCCGTCGCGTACGAGAAGAGTGCTGCATTATGGATCGATCGTGGATGATGATGGAGGCGTAGCGACCTGTCCTGTCCTGTCCTCTGCCCATCTCTGCCCATACTCTCCCTCACCGTAGTCCCCCTCAGCTACGCCGACGCTGTCTCTCTCAAAGCCTGTTCCTGTTGCATCTGTGTTTCCTACATCAACCTCAGTGAGGCCTCGTGCTCCCTCACCCAGCCAGCGCCTCTGTCACTCCTGCGACTCCGACTTAAGCTGGCCTTGTAATCGTCCAACTGCTGTATGGGAGGCATCTGGAGCGTCATGATCGACTGAACCGCACCATGGCAAACTCGACGTTGGTGGGCAATTGCGTCGCCCCGTTTCTGGATGCCGCGCGATTCTCAAGTGATGGAGGATGTAAGTCGGCATGGAAGCAGACCGGTCTGACGTCGATCCACTGACCCGCCGAAGTCATTGAAGGCCGATTCTGCGCACGCATCGACGACCTGCCGGGACAGCCCAACTGTTGCTTGCCCTGTCCCGCCACGAAATACGCCTACTCCGACACCTTCCATACCTATAATAACGTCTCCGAGTGGCTGAATGTCCTGGGCCTCGCCCTGCTCACCTTCATGCTCCTATCGTACGTGCTTCTGCCGGCACAGCACACGCGAAGCCATTACCTGAGTGTTTGCCTCGTGCTATCCGTCATCATGATCACCCTTGGATTCACAATTCCCTTAGGAGCCAGACCAGAGCAATGTTACGACGAAATTACGCCTAACGATATGTACACATCTAACGCATGCGCCGCGGGAGGAGCTTTCATTATCGCTGGAGGATTGACCGCAATGATGTGGATCTTTATCCGTGCGCTCTCCATGAATTTACAAATATGCTGGGATATTGTGCCCGGCCGAAAATTCTTCTACATCTCGCAGCTGGCCGGTTGGGGTGTGCCAGCAATCCTATTTACTGTGACCATCACCATTACGGGAGTCAGCTTTAGATTTGGCAATGCCTGCCACGTCAATCACGACCACTCCATGGGCGATTTCTGGGGCCCACTGCTTGCCATGGCTGGAATGGCAGCCATCCTGCAACTGGCAACATTCAGCTACTGCATTCATGTCTATCTGAAGAATCTCTGGACCGATCGATCGGATCTCTCAACGAATGCCTCATCAGGAGCTCTGCCGTCATACCAAGGAAGTGTCCGCACCATGACCGCTCGAGCGGTCTACCGAAGATTGAAGAAAGTTTTATGGCTGCAGTGGCGAGGAATCTGCATCGTCAGCATTGTTCTGGTCGATGTCATTTTCTTCTCCATTGTCTTCGTTTCCTTGGACGGCATGCAGTCATCAATCACCCAAGACTGGGAGAAGGTGAAGCCATGGCTATTTTGCTTGGCACAACATCCCAACGACAAGAACAAGTGTTTGCCACTGGTGCAAGGATGGCTGGTGAACGAGCCCACGCTGGTCGCAGTGCTCCTCCTCCTCGCCCTCATGGGACTCCAAGTCTTCCTCCTCCTCACACGACCCTCATTCTTCCCAGCATGGTCGTCCTACTTCCGCTCCAAACTCTCCCCGAAACACCGAGAATTCGTGAGCCTAGACGCCCGACCCGAGATCATGCGCAGCAATTCCAACGCCGAACTCCTAAAATACCAACGAGGCCCCCAAGCCACGACCTTCGAAATGCAATCCAAACCTCCTCCTCCCTTCGTCAACACCGCAGACCTCGACATGAAAAACCCCCCATCCTCCACCCTCACCTCCCCGGACGACACCCACCGAACCCCCCTCTCTCGAGGCGACTCCCCAGCCCTCGACCCCACAGCCCCAACCTTCGGCCGCGGGCGCATCCCCTCGGAATACATCGGCCGCATCACACCCACACCAGGAGACGCTACGTCGTCATCCACACAACGCGACGACTTCGACCCCCCTCTCACCCGCCCCCCAACAGCCGCCCGCCGCGACTCCGAAGAACGTCGCTATCGAGCCCCAAATTCAAGTTTCGCCCAACCTTACGCTCCGAGTCGAGCGAACAGTGCGAAATCGGTGAGTTTTGATCCCCGAGAGGCGTATTCGAGGGGTGGCTTGGCTTTGAATCCTCCGAGTGAGGCGGGGGAGAGTAGGGAGGATGTTTCGAGCTATGGAGGACAGGGACATGGTGGGTATGGGGATGATTGTAGGGGGAATAGGTTATGATGATATTGGGATAGGAGGATGGATGGATGGATGGATGGATGGACGTGAATTCGAGATGAAGTTAAAAAAGCAGCTGTAGCAAGCGAGCGACCGAGGCAGGCAGGCATGATTGTACATACATATTCCCGTTTGGAAAAAAAAAAATCTCCCGGACATATATGTACTGTTGTAGTTCAAAAAGTGCGAAACAGATCTCGGACGAGAGGAGCAATCCCGAGTTAAAGAGGAGATGGAGATAGGATGGTGGAAATTAAAGTCAGGCGAGTACAGTCAGTACTTCGTAAAGAAAAAAAGACACCCTTCTTTGCTTTTTTCATTTCCGCGCACGAGAACGATATAACCCAAAAAAAGAAACTTTTGTAAAAAAAAATTTCATCCTTTTCCAGATGACCTACCTCCCTACCTACTTCACCTCACCCTCCGCTTCCCAGCCCTCCTCCTCCTCCTCCTCGCCTCCCACGCACCCTCCCCACGTTCCCGTCTCCTCCCTCTGCCCTCCTCGTCACTCCTCCTCGCCTTAGCCCTGCGCTCCCGTCTCCAAACACCCTCCACCTCAGACCCATCCCCGCCACCATCCGTCCCACCACCCCCCATCCTCCTCCCCTGTTCCTGCGTATCAAAAACAATCTCCACCCGATTCAAACTCTTCACATTCCTCTTCTTCTTCTTCATCACAGACCTCCCATGCAACGGACAAATCGCCTTGCCGCCACTTTTGTGTTTCGGATGCAAAGGACACAACGGACTGTCGGGGAGGTGGTCGGGCACGTCGGTTTCAAACCCGAGCACGATGTCGTTGTCGGTTTCGTCGTCGGATTCTTCGTCCAGCGTGTCGGAGATGAAGGAGCGGATGGCTTGTTGCGTCGCGCGTTGCGTGTCGTGGTAGCGTTGGCTGAAGGGGGTTTGGGTGAAGGATGTGATGGTGAGGTCCGAGGGGGTGATGGGGCGGGGCTTTGAGGTTGGTGCAGGGGCTTGTGGATCGATGTCTGGTTTCTGTTTCTCGACGGGTTCGAGGAGGAGGAGGATTGAAGATTTTTTTGCGAGTTTGCCGTTACGGACGTTGATTGTGGAGGTTGAGGGGCGGAGGTTGATGCGTGAGAGGGATGTTTTGAGGGATAATGTTGATCTGCGCGCGATGGCCGCAATGGTGTTTTTCTGAGCTTGATTGTCTTCGAGAGTTGTCGAGGAACGGTGTTGGCGAAGACTCATGGAAAGGCCTGTCCAAATACTGGGTTTCTTCTTCAGGGTTGCATCGTGAAAATCTTCTCTCACATCATGCACTCCTTGCGATGCAACATCAACATCCGCTCCTGGTGAAGGTTGGATAGAGCCACTCTTGTTGCCGTATGAGCTGCCTTCATTGACTTGAGCGCTACGTGAGCCTGCTGATGGCGAACGTGATGCAGGAGCAGAAACATATGATCCCTCATCATGGACTTCTGCCGCATTCTCCAAACTACTTTCGCGATACCTTCTTTGTCGATTTCGAGGCGTACCGAAAGGCGACAAGGCTTCCGAAGACGACCTGTTCTGAGCCCGCGATTTGCGTATAGATTCCGGAGCAGTACGAATGAGCTCTCCAGGGATCATTGGAACAGCGCCCGGTGACAATGCTGGACTGATCGGAGTCAAACTCGTTTGGCTGTCTCCGCGTGTAATTGGAGGTCGAGCGAAGTAGCTCGGGATTGTGAGTTCAGGCACGATGCTCGGACATCGCTGCGAATCAACCGGACTGCTGACCATGATGCCCGGCGTCGCTGCTGGAGTCACTGGCGTGGCTGCTGACGACTTTCGTGGTGGGGTTCTCGCTTTTCTCTTCGATGGCAGCTCAAATACGTTGACGTCTTTGAAAGCAGCAAGTCGAAAGATGTTGAAGAATGCGCTTGAATTCCGTTTCTTGGGCTTCCGAACTGGCGGCTCAGCTATGTCAGGTTGCAGCAACGATGGCAGTGGTATGCCAGGCTCTCCTCGACTGCGAGAATCAGAGCCCGACGTCAGCTGCTCTGACTGTTGCTTGCGCTCTTCAATAGCTTGAGGTGGTCGTGGAGGTATGAATTCCTCATTGTACATCGTATCTGATCCAAACGTGTGGAAATATGAATCGCCATGTCGAAAGGGGCTTTTACCGGAAACACTCGGCTCATCCTCTGGGGGCGTGACATCGTGATGATGTCTCTTGGTTTCTAGAATTTGTGGGCTACCAAAGCGCAGTTGTCGCCGTTGTGGACCAGAATTGATGTTCTTCGCGGATATGCGTCGCCGGAGGTTTGGCCGACTCTTGCTATCGTTGGGGCTGTTACGAAGCAGATCTGGTCGTCTGTCAGGCAGGTTGAGAGTCTGCACTTTTCGAATGGGCTTGATATCGGGATCGGTGCGCAAGAGCTCTGATAAACTGAGTGGCATGGGCTTCTCTGAGGGAGGTGGTGGCGTAATGTGCTTGGTCGTGGATTCCACTACCCCTGTATCCTCAACGACTTTAGGCTTATAGAACGAAGGCGATCGTCGTCCATCACTAGGAAGTTTCAGGATCGACGGTTTCTGGATGAGGTGCTGAGAAGGCTTGCTTTTCTTCTTGAGGAGTCGCAAGTCGGGCTTTCTTCGGCGAAGGCCAAAAGCGTAGCTGCTTTCTGAGGAGCCGTCTGATATCGAAGAGATGCTGCTGATAGACTTGTTAGAGTGTCTAGAATGAATGCTGTCGGGTGACGACTCGCGGGCTGGGAGGAAGCGGGTCACAGGTAATGGTACAGGCGTAGGCAGATTGGCAATCAGGGATCGTAGGTGGGCAGTGGTTGATGCTAGCTGGCTTGACTTGTATGTGTCCACTGAATCTGGCGTTTGCGTCAGAAAGTTGGCATCGGCTTCAGCACGTCCTCCTATGAGCTGTGGTGATAGCGCCTCGGAGGTGGATGACCATGGTGACGCTGGCGACGCTGGCGATCCAGCTCCCGATCGTTGGATGGCGACCGTTTCCTCCGATGGCGATCCAGCTCCAGATCGTCGTCGTCCCAATACTGTCGGTGGCGACTCTCCTGGCGATGCGGGACTCGTGACGAAGAGTGGTGGCGTCGATTGTGAGGGACGTGAGCGATCCTCGGCGGCGAATAGGAATGATATCTGACTCGTCTCGGGTGATGAGAGCGACGATACTCCTCTTCCTCCTCCCGGCGATGCTCCAAATCCGCCACTTTGTCCTTCTGCTTCGCCTTCTCCTTGCTGCTGTAGTTCTTGAAGCACGCCACTGGATACATGCTGCATAGTCCTGCTAAGCCCACGGCGATAGCGAGGAATATTCCTTTCCGATAGCTATGACGCTCGTTGAGATCGCGGTAGAATGACATGGTCTAAGAAGAGTAAGTAGGGGCTCAGGTGTGCCTCGAAGGGATCGGCATGGGTGTGCGTACGCTTTGCTGGGCAGAGAATGAATGTGATGAGATGTTTGTCTGTCGCGAAGGCGATGGTGCCTTCGAGGCGTCAAGCGCGCTTTGTCGGTGTGATGTTGTGGATGTCAGGCAAGATCGCCACCCACTTTGAGATGCAATGGAAGTATCGCGCCGGTATGCCGAGGTGATTTCGCGCAGTCGCAGTAGGTGCGAGTGTCGCGGAGATGCCAGGTGAGATGCAGCAATATGGTATGTGGCAGTGGTCGTTCGGGTGCAAGAGTGGAGGAAGCGGCGATGGCGACGGCGACGGCGATGTCGTTGGCTTCACTTGCTTGTGCTCGGCAAAAAGCGGACCCACTAGGCATGTGGGAAGAAAGCTGCAGATTCGGCCCACAGCCTCACATCAGACGCGACTGGCGCGTGAACTTTGGCATCAGCACGGCGAACGACGGTCATAGGAACACGAGAATCTTACGCCTTGTTGGCAGATCAGGATAGGACTGTTCAACGTGCCAACGTGGCTGCTGTAGCACAAGCCCGGCAAACAGGCAGGCTTCGAAAGCTACACGAACGCACGAGGACAGGTGGCACGGAGCGTCCAGCCGCAGACAGGCAGTTCTTCGATGGAAACGAGGAATAGTCTTGTTCTGCCCCCATCGAGGCACGACCAACGTTGGCAATTTGTGATCCCAGAGAGCGCTCCACGCGAACCACTAGCGACAGCTATCGTCAGCGAAGAAGGTATCACGGGTTTCACAGAACAACAGTGTGCCTTACTGGGACGTCACAAAGTACACTCAATCCGTTTTGCTTATTTCACCTGGGTATCTCGTCATAGCCAGTACTAACCAGCCGGCTTTCCCTGCTCCCAATGCCCGTGAACTCCGTTCGTAATGCATGAATGACCTCCGATATTTCCAGCCCGAGCCTTTACTCTAGCCTTTACCCTGGTAGGTCTCATGATGTCCGTGATGACTTGTGATCGTTCCTAAAGAAACACCCACTCGATCGGGCTGATCTTGCCGGTAGTCTGACCTGTGAGGGCGTGGAACGGGCCCATGGCCATGTCGAGATCATTCTCGCTGCAGGCACCGCAGGAGTCGATGACCTTGACGTCGACACTCTTGCCGTTGTACTGAGCGCGGATCATCTGACCGCACTTTGGGTTGAGGTTCGGATTGGCGTCACCATCGAAGAAGGCATGGCCAATGGCGGTGACATAGTCGCTGTCGTTGGCGTCCCAGCCACAAGCGCCTGAGATTGTTAGCAAGTGCCGCGAAGCTCACTGAATGTGCGTTGTGCTTACCCGTAGCGCCTGGAGTGTACGGGTTGTACGTGACCCAGCCAGTGGTGGCGCCGGCGCCCACCGCCGCTGGTGGAGCAGTTGGGCTAGATCAAGTCAGTACAGGTCTGTTTCCGAAGCTCGAGTCTGAGTTACGCACTGAGAAGCGGAGAGGCCAGCGGCCAAACCGATGACGAGAGCAGTGATGGAGAGCATGATGCCGATGAGGATGATGAGGAAGGTTCTTCTTGAGAATGTGTGGAAGTACTTCTTGTGGGGTGGAAAGAGTCTGTCGAGAAGCTTGGTGGTGTTGAGGTTGGTGTCGTGGTGAGGGTAGACATTCGCCAATGCCGCCGTTTTTGTATTTCGCAATTGAGGCGCAAACTGATGCGGCGCCACAACTTCACCTTCACTTTTCACATGCGAGCCATTCACCGCTTTCCGCTTCGGCATCGCCCTCACATGCTCCCAGTCAGGGACTTGGTCCTCCTTCACTATTGGCATCTTCTTGTCTTCAGAACGATGTTCCGACACGACATCACTTGCGTCCGCCGGTATGCTAACTCCATGATTATACTGGTGTCTTTCAGGGTTATAGCTCTGTCCGTGATCTGGTCTTGGTCCTCCAGGAGGGTCAGGAGGACCAAATGGTGTGCTCGGCGCATCCGGTCTGGGCACCGGAACTCGTCTTATACGCTGGCTTCTATCATGCCCCATCTGCTCTGACGCTTGCTCTCCATATCTTCTCGCATTGTCTTTCGCATTTTGGCAGGCATTCCCTCCTGCTTCGAGGTCTTTCTCGCTGGCCATTCTCTTCGCAAGCCTCCCGGCACTTCTACGATATCTTCTCCCGAAAATGCAAATATCGACAATCGCCTACCGCAGTACGCCGGAGCAGACACGCGTGGTGCTGATGTTGCGGAGGAGGAACTCTACAGCGCATCGTGAAATTCGGCATGGCATGGCCGGTGGAAGAGGAAATGAGACGTGAGTTTTTGGCGCCGAATAGCCTTCCGTGCAGGGGTTGCAACAGCACCGAAACCTTGAAGGAGGGTGTATATGGTGACAGGTAGACATCATTGTTGACCGCGACCGCATCGCTCAACACATCAGATCGAAGCGAGCGTCTCGTACAATAACGAGCGTATTCGCACTAAGATGTGCTCGCCGTGTAGCCCTCGGGAAGCGGCCGATGCTGCATGGATGCTGAGGATCAGCACCAATCGTCTGTTGGCAAGGGTCAACGGATCACATGTTGCTCGGGAAGGGGCACTTCCGCCAGACTTGCAGCTTTGAGCGAGCAAGCTGACCACCTTATTGTCGCGGTAACATGCACTGAGAACAGCGCTGAGCGCCTAGCCTTGCCTTCTTCTCCAGTGCACTTCGAGCCTGAAGGGGCCAGTATCGGCTGGCGTACAGTAACAGTCTATAGAGCGCTGCTCGCCGCCGGACAGCACTGGAGCAATCATTTGCACGCACAATTCGCTATGGAGCTCATCACGGACCACCCAGTCGTGGCGATTGCATTTGTTGTCTGGATCTTGACGGCTCTTGGATCTCTCACATCACGGAGTAGAACCAAGTTGCCCGACATACCATGGATGGGCAAGAGCGGGAACTGGCCTGGCGCCGAGTATCTCGCTACCTGGTCTGCCCTTGCAAGCATGCGAAGGTGGTATAGTGAGGGATACAAGAAGGTATGCATTTGACCTGATCTAACGTTGAACGGAGCTAACAGCAGATAGTACGGCAAGCAAGGCCAAGCATATATTTTGCCAGATGTTCTCGGTGGCAAACACGTCGTGCTTCCGAACGAGAAGCTAGGCTGGATTCTTGAGCAGCCTGACTCGGTGTTGAGCACTGGTGCCGCCCACTACGATGCTCTTGCCGGGGACTATGCCTTCACTGATTCGCAAATTCTCAAAGACCTCTACCATGAGCACGTGGTCCACCAAAACATGGCTCGGAAGGTTGGCGAAGTTATTCCACGCACGTGGCAGGGCATCTGCGACGCCTTTGATGAGCTCTGGGGCAAGGACACCCAGCAATGGAAGACAATCAACATTATGGATTCCATGACACACCTTGTGGCCAGCGTCAGCAACTATTTCTTTGTAGGTGAGCCACTCTGCAGGGATAAGCAGTTCCTTCGAGCAGGTCGCGCATTCGCCGATGCCGTTATCTCATGTCTCTTCTTTAATCAACTGCTGCCCAACATTGCCAAACCCTTCCTCATGCCGATCATTGCCATACCAAACCATTGGCATCACTGGAAAATAGCCAGAGCGGTGCTACCATTCTTCCGGAAGAGGATGATCGAGATGGAGGAGGCGGAGTCGAAGCCAGGATCCACCATTGAAATTCCAGAAGATTACATCACTTGGCACATCCGCACTGCGAAGAAAGAAGGAAGGCTTGATATGCTCCAGCCATACAAGGTGACGAGGTCTTTGATGGCCATTGAATTTGCCGCAAATCACACCACCCTTCTCACAATCTCCGCGGCGTTGATTGACTTATTTGGCTCTGATCCTAAGCTTGGATACGTTGAAGGACTACGGGAAGAAGCAGAGAGGGTATACCGTGAGCACGATGGCGTGTGGTCCAAGCAAGCTGTGAACAAGCTTGTCCGCGCCGACTCCGCTTTGCGGGAGAGTATGCGATTGCTCAATATCACCTACGCTGTCACTCGCAAGGTTTTGGCGCCTGAGGGCGTACGCACTCCAGACGGCATGCTGGTGCCTTATGGTCAATACATCTCGGTAGCCGCAGAAGAGCGCCATTACGACGCCGATGTGTACGAAAATCCACACGTCTACGATGCATTCCGATTCTCTCGAAGTCGTGAGGCATATGAAGCGGCCAATCCGGAAGATAAAAACTCCCAAGAGTATCTCAAGCACCAGAGCAAAAGCTTTGTGACAACAAGTCAAGACTTCCTTCCATTTGGACACGGCCGGCATGCATGGTAAGACTACTCTACTGGGCTTTTGGCAGTGCTTTGTTTCTAACAATAAAAAACAGTCCCGGGCGCTTCTTCATTCAACAAGAGCTCAAGATGCTCTTTGCTTACATGCTGATGAATTATGACGTCCAACATTTGCCAGAGCGACCGCCGAATTTCGTCTGGGGTCCCATTCATACGCCCCCACCGAAGACAACTCTTCAAGTCCGGCGTAAGGAAAGAACGTTGTAAGAATGCACGATGGTAACTATAGATCAAATTGCCAGCAAGTTATCAGATTCTCCAAATGGCTTGTTTGAACTAGTTAGGGATTCGGAGCTAAGAGTAGAGTAGATGTAACATGCCTTTCTGCAGGGCCCAGCTTGAACTGTTACCTTGACAAATCAATCCCTGCCTTTGGGTTCATTGTCACCCCGTATAGGTATGGAGGGTTCTGGTCGCCATTAGGTCCGCTTCTCCGCCATGGTCTATCAAGATTCAGTCGCCCACCGGGGTTGCTCTTCGCACTCTGGATAGAAGAAATTCTGAATGATGGCCTCATACACGCTCCCGGCGCTTTTACGTATGAGATTTCTTCGAGAGCGGCATTGGCTTTTGTGGCCAAGCATGCTTCGCCCTAATGCGGGGGACTGGTGACGCTGTTCAAGTTTTGTGTTTCCAGTGCTCGTACGAAAGCTATACTTGGACGTGAGCGTACATGGTCTCCGCAATACGAGGATGAATGGGAGATTACGTTCAAGACGGAGGCCGAAGAGTTCCAGAGGAATCTGCCTGCAGAGAGGGATGTTCCGAAAGTTCTACGGAAAAGCATATAGTGATTTACTACTTAGCATAGCTCGAGATCATTCGCGCGAAGATGGTGCAGTGAAGAGCTTGACTAGTCATGAGTCTGCTCCAGTCAGCCTTGATCCAGATACAGGAGCACTCGAACAGACGCACCTAGATCCTCTTCTTACTAGCCCCGTCTCTCCCACCAAGATATCTCCCACTCACAGCTCCCACAAGTCGACTATACATATCAACGCCCATGAATACCGCTTCACACAGAATCAGCTTTTGCTCCTACTCTCCATGCAGAAAGGCAGTGATAAATACTCACAAACCATTAAATACGGCACATATAACTTCCCCAACTCCAATTTTTGCTCATTCGAATGCGAGTTCCAACTCATATAATCCGCAATACATGTAGCTGTGGTCACAGCAGTCTGTATTGCGTAGATGAGTAAATGGATTGGGGTTTTGGGATCGTTATTGGACCATAGAGCTTGGATTGCGTAGAGGGAGAGGGGAATGTGGTACTAAAGTGAGCGTCAGCGAGTTCAGAGAAGGGAGATAGGGTGAAGTAATTGGGAGGCTTACGATCAATTCCATCCACATATACCTGTGGAAGTCCGAATACGTTAGTCAGAGGGCAAGAGTTGAGAGTTGAGGGATTTTGTGACGTACACCGTAAACCAAGCTGGGGGCTTCACAAAGAATTGGTCGTTGTAGGTGTGGATGTACCAGGTGCGGAGATCGGTCATGAAGGTTGGGATTAGGGAGGGTGGGTAGAGGGGATAGATGTCAACGCCTAGCGATCCGAATCAGTACGGGTTCTTGAAGATTCATAGGTGCCATGGCGAAGCTTTTCCTTACAGAACACGATGGGGATGTGAATGAGGAAGAAAGTGAGGTAGATGTAGTCGAGGGTGCGGCGGAAGGAAGCCATTTTTCCCAATGATTTTGAGTCTTCGATATTTGTGTTATTCTCGTCGATCAATTGCCTCTTGATCTTTTCGTGATCTCTTGCAAAAGAGGCGGATTTGGGAGTTGTGTTGTTTCAGGAGTAAAATTGAGGTCGGACGCGAGGATGTCTGATATTCTTGGGACCAAATGAGGCGGGATCGGAGCATGGGTGCAGCAGAACACGATATACACATGTCGAGTTGAGATTTGGATCTATACAGCTATGATACAGCTTTGAACTTTTTGTTACATCCTTGACATCCATGTCACTATCCCCAAACGCCTCGCTAAGCAACAGCAAAAGTCGAATATTCCGAGGGAGCAAGAGCAACACTGGTCAGAAGTGCGGTTCCAACTCAGTCAATCGCGCAGTCTTTCATCAACAGCATCGCTTCGCGTTCGGTGTATCAATCTGCACGCTATGACACGCACCCAAGGCCATTACGTGGTGTAGAGACGCAACCTGGCAGCCGAGGATGTGCCATGCCACGCGCTGTTTTGCGGCAGTCGTTCTCTTTGATCGGAGGATCATTGTCCCAACGTCTGCTTGACAACCCGTGCGACCTCTGACCTGTCAACAGGCTTGCCTTCCAAGCTGCCACCGGGTCCGAGGATCTTCTTCAAAATGTCTCCCATGTTGATTTTGACACTCTCGGCAGCTGCCTTGGCCTCATCGACCACTTTTGTGACAGCATCCTTGATCTCGTTCTCAGACATGGTCTCGACCTGCCCTGCATATTCATCGAGAACATTGACTTGCGACTGCTCCTTCTCCACCAAATCCTCTCTCCCAGCAGCCTTGAACTCTTCACTCGCAGCCTTAGCAGCAGAAGCCCGTTTCCGTAGAAGTGCTAATAGCTGCATATCTGTCTTGATCGGGTTCGATGTCTTGGCTGAGTTTGTGACATCGGCAATGACGCCTCGCAGCACGTTCAATCGATTCGTGTCTTTTTCGCGCATGGCGGTTTTGAGGTCATTCTTGAGCTTGCCAAGCAGAGGACTTGGAGGTGCAGCTGTACCCGAAGCTGCTGCTGCGTAGGCGCGACATTGCGGGCAGATCCAGTTGTTTCGTGATGCTATTCTGCTTCGAAGCAGCATGCGCGATGTGTTGAGAGACATGGTGATGTTTTGTGTGATGGAGAAGAAACGCAATCATTGGCCTTGGGCTGCCTTGGTGGTGAAAGATGTATGGCTGACTAATCTAAAAAAGCGGAAGGTCAAGCGAGTGAGACGCGCTCCTCTCGCGTTTGTCGAAAGTTTGGAGTGAGAGCTTCGCTTCAGATGTAAGTGAGTGAGCATACCATTGCGCCAAATCAATATAATAGAGCGAACCTGCATCAAACCAGATCGCTTCCATATCACGACATCACGACAGCGCCAACGAGGTCCACCACCGCCGCATGCCACGACCGCGAGGCCCAACCTCTTCCTCTGCTGCGAGCTGCTGGCCAGCACAAAGAAACATTAGAGACACTTCTCCAGCTCCATTCTTGCATCGTCGATAGCGCACCCCCACTGCGCATACATTCGCGTCCAATATGGCGTCCGCTGCGCCGCCGGCGACACCTCAGCGGCCGGTGCCTGGCAATTTCATCAACACTCCGGCGCCGCAACAGCAGCAGAAACGTCCAGGCCAGACAATATTTGGCCCTCAAGCTGAGTCGCTGAGGGAGAGAGCAGCGCCGTCACAGTCTGCGAATGTGCCCACACAGTCGCCGAGCTCGACCAAGGAGACACTGGCACAAAAAGCAGCCAAATCCATCGATTTGACGCTGCAATGGGAGGAGCAGTTCCCGCAGCTGGAGAACTATATAGCTCAAGGCATCAGTGGAGAGTATGAGCAGCCCACAAATCAAGCGCTACAGCCTTTCCAGGAGCAGAAGACATATGAGCTTCCACAGCGCGTACTGGCTCAAATGAATGATGCACAGATGGCAGTTCTGATGGGCATATTTGCGCCTCTGGGGCATGCATGGATTGCGCTTGACAATTGCTTATATCTCTGGGACTACACTGCAGCCAATCCCGATATTATTGGATATGAAGATGCTCCTCAGCCCATCACTGCCGTACGACTCGTGCCACCAAAACCGGGTGTTTTTGTGGAAGACATCAAGCACATGATTGTTGTTTGCACACAGCATGAGATGCTGCTGCTTGGTACTGCCAAGTCCGTCAATGCCAATGGCGCTCCCACTGTCAACTTGTACGACACCAAGATGAAGATCAATATTAGTGGCATCAATGTCACCAATATTGTCGCATCCAGGAAGACTGGTCGCATCTTCTTTTCTGGCGAGCACAGCGATGACATTTACGAATTCCACTATCAGCAGGAGGAAGGCTGGTTCAGTGGAAAATGTCAGAGAATCAATCACACCTCGGGCAGCATTGGCAGTCAGCTCACGAGCCGTATTACCGCCGTGGGCTCACTGTTTAGTCCCGCATCACCATCAAAGTCTTTCAAGCAGATAGTCATTGACGACTCCCGGAATCTACTGTGGACGCTGAGCAAGGCAAGCGAGATACGAGTCTGGCACGTTAACGACCCCAACTCTCTCACGCCAGGTTTGATGCGTCCCTTGGCTTCGCTACTTCAAAATGCAGGCGGCCTCTTCCAAAGCAGGACAGACTTGCTCACCGGCAGAGATGTGCATCTTGTCTCACTCAGTGTGCTTTTGGCCGCAGAGACGACGAAGCTTGCCCTTATGGCCTCAACCAATACTGGATGTCGACTCTACCTCTCCGTCACACGCGGGTACGGCTTTCAAGCAGATGCCCAAAATCCTCCCTCCAGCATTCAGATCTCCCATATCCGCTTTCCAGCAAGAGACCCCAACGCACCTGTCAATCCGGCACAGTCCCGCCAAACGGCACTGGCACCATACCAGCAACCATCAGGCCCATCAAGCCAAGTCGACAGTACATCTACATATCTTCTAGGGATAGAAACAGCATATCGCTTTCCGCCGGGCTACTGGATGGCGTATCAGAGAGATCCCAACAACCCCACTCGAAATAGAAAAGTGTTTTGCGTTGCGACCGACACCGGCCGTTTGAAAATGCAGAGAGACGTCAACATGACAAGCCCGTTCATCGAATATGGCCAGTGGATTCCAGTAAGCGACGAGTTGTATGAGATTGCGGAGCTGACGGATCCATTTGGCGCTACAAAGCAGCCTGTTGGCTTCGGCAACGAACTTGCAGTGCAGTTCGACCAAAGATCTGCTGAATTTGCCATCGTAACGGCATCCGGTATCCAGACTATACGTCGGAGACGGCTGGTCGACATGTTTGCATCGTTGATGAAGTACGGCTCGAAGGACGAGGAAGGCACGGAAGGCGACATCAAGCGATTTATTCGTACTTATGGTCGGGGCGAAACAGCTGCGACTGCTCTCGCAGTTGCATGTGGCCAGGGCGTTGACATGGACGGCACTCGCATCGCTACTGTTTCGGATCCTGAAGTGCTCGAGAAGGCACGAAAGGTCTTTGTCGAATACGGTGGCAGCCCGGAATACAATGCCAACGCTGTTGTCGCTGACAATCGCGCGCCTGAAGAGGATGTCAAACCGAGCCCGCGATTTGAAGGTATCTCGATCTTCGTGGCTCGACTAGCCCGTTCGGTCTGGCGGTCCAAGATCATCGTTGACAACCCCAAGCCAGGATTCAACGGGCCCAGATTCGTGCCAGGCGTCAGCCTTGATAAGCTCAAGGACCTCCAGCGCTATCTGACCTCTCTCCTCGGCTTCTTAGATCGCAATCGCACCTTCATCGATGGCATGTCTGGTCCATCCACACTCAGCCGCGTCAAGACCCGACAAGAAGAGATCGCCCTTCGTGGTGAGCACAGCTACATGCACGGCATGCTCAATCTGATTGAGAGCATCAACGAAGGCATCAGCTTCGTGGTCGTCTTATTCGACGAGCGTATTGAGGATATACTTGCACTGCTACATGAAGAAAGCCGGAGAAGAGCGCTCGATTTGACTTTCCAAGCTCTATTTGTCAGTCCTGAAGGCAGAGACCTCGCAAAGGAGCTAGTGAAGGCCATAGTCAATCGCAACATCTCCAACGGCAGCAATGTCGACACTGTCGCAGAAGCACTGCGCCGAAGATGTGGCAGCTTCTGTAGCGCTGACGATGTTGTCATCTTCAAGGCACAAGAGGCGATCAAGCGAGCGACAGAGACCGGTGCTCAGAGTGAGCCTGGTCGCGCATTGCTCAACGAGAGTCAGCGCCTATTCCAGAAATGCGCTGCAAGCTTATCCGATGAATATCTCAAGAGAGCTGTCGAAGACTACGTGAGTGCGGCCTTCTACGCTGGTGCCATTCAACTCTGCTTGACAGTGGCCAACGAGAAAGACAAGGCAAAGAGAGCATGGGCATGGATGAAGGATGGCGCATTGGACGCCGACCCGAGAAGAGACAGCGCATATGCACCCCGTCGGAGAGCATATGAGCTGATCTTCGCCGTCATCACTCATCTTGATGCAGCAACAGCCAATGCGCCAGAACTCGAGGAGGATGGAAAGCGTTCTCTGGCTCAGAAGAGACGGACTGAGGCATACGACATCATCAACAACTCTGACGACTATGCATTCCTCACTGACCTCTACGACTTCTACATCAATATCCAAAATCAGCCCGACCGACTCCTTGCAATCACAAATCCCTTCGTCGTGGAGTACCTCCGCAAAAAGAGCTCAGAACACAGCAACGGCTCAAGGCTTTATGCGGATCTCCTTTGGCGATACTTCAGCCACTATAACGATTACCTTCAGGCCGCCACTGTCCAGCTTGACCTTGCTCGGTGTGACATTGACATTCCTCTAGATGAGCGGATAGAGTATCTTTCACTCGCTCGCGCAAATGCCAGCACGAGACAGACTATCATCACAGATTCGAGACAGAGCAAGCAACGGCTCCTCCGCGAAGTCTCCGACCTCCTCGACATTGCCGAAGTCCAGCAAGAGCTTCTTGAACGCTTAAGAGCTGAGACACGCATTCAAGACCCAGAGCGAAAGCAGCAGCTCGTCGATGCCCTCAACGGCCAAATCCTCCCGGTCGAACGCCTCTTCATGGACTACGCCGAAGCCGCCAAGTACCACGACATCTGTATTCTCCTATACAAAGTCGCCGATCATCGCAACCCCGGCGACATCAAAGCGAGTTGGATGCAATTAATCCGCGACACCAGCGCAGAAACAATCGCAGTTCACGGCAAGAAATTGAAGGCTTGGGAAGCCGTCGGCATGACTGTCCACTCCCTAGGTCGCCGCCTCGGCACTTCGCCCTCCACATTCCCCGTCAACACTCTCCTCCCTCTGCTCGAAGAATACGCCATCGAACCTCGCCAAGAACACCCGCCTGACACCTGGGCCATCGACCTCATGCTCGACCTGGAAATCCCAGCCGAGACACTGCTTCCCGTCGTTGAAACCATGTACTACTCCAACGCTCACCCATGGAATTCTGCTAGTAAGAAGCGGAAGTTGGCGGAGAAAATGGTATACCTTGTGCAGAGATGGTTTGCGGATAGTGAGAGGAGTGGTGAGAGGGCGCTGTTTGGCAGTGAGGAGAATTTGAGTCTCGTCATGGAGTGTTTGAATTCGCTGGCTAGGGACAATAGTTCGGGACAGGAAGGACGAGAAGGTGCATTGAGGATGGTGGGCAGGATTAGGGATGTGTTGAGATGAGGAGGAAGACGGTGGAAGTGAGGGTTCTCTGCATTAGCGATGGCGTTTCGATTTTAGAGAGCTTGGTGAGACGCTGAGCTGAGCTGGGGATATGTACCATCATCGCGAATACAGACACGAGAAATTGTGATGGTTTGCACTAGATATTGACTCTCCCCCTTACGCACGCCCTAGATTACTACTAAATTTATATAGTATAGGTAGGTGACGTAGGTCTACGGTAAAATAGTAGCTACGCGGAAATATCTATAGTCTCTACGTATAGCGCGACTTCTTAAATAGCACAATAAGCCTGAATAAGGTAGCCAAGCGATAAAATCCCGAACCCGACGAAAATAAAGAATAACTAGCCGATACTATGCAGGAATCAGGATTCAGCCCAAACAATCGGCACGTGTCTATGTGTCCTGTGCTCAAGCGAAATCTTCCCTCTCATGGGGTCCCGATTGGAATTGGCTCGACATGGGCTGGATGATGGACATGCTCGCATATGATTACTGTATGCACTGTACGGCGGAGCATCCTGGGGAGGAGTGGCGAGCAGCGCAGCCCAATCGAAAGCTTATGGATCGTTCCAAAGGCGGGATCGGAATCAATGATTCTGTCGCATCACGATCAGAACATTTTCTTTCACGTCGTTTTGCCTGTCGTGTCGTTCGTTCCACGACTCGTTGTCAAACCCAGATCGGCGGGAATTCCACGTGTTTTTCTAGTTGTGCCGGCTCCCGTGAAGGTTGCCAATCTGTCGGAACTGTTGTGATACGCTTCCGGGCGACAATTTTCATGATTCCCCTCGTCTGTCTTCACACCGCTTTTTGACTTCTACAGGGAAGAGCATTCTTCAAGACTGGTCGAGCGTCGGGTATCGTTGGCGAATTTGCAGAGCCATGGTGAGATCAATCACGCCCACGGTGGATTTCAGCAAATGGTGTGTGCAAGGATGTGCCATTGCCTTTCCCATGCATCGACGCGACCGCCTCGTTGTTTCACTACTGGCGCAGAGGTGGGCTGTCATCTGCTCCATCGCGCGGTGTGAGGGGAAACTCTCCCCAGCGACAAGGGAGAGATTGCCCTGGCCGGCGGAAGTGTGTCCTGCAGCGCTGAAGAATCATCAATAATTGAGACTTCGGGCTTTCTGCAATGCTGTGGGACTCCAGCAACCACTAATACCGGAGACATGGTATTGCCTTGCATGTCAACCGCGCCGCCATGCCGTTTCAGCACGGTGCCTCTCGCGAGAGCTGGGGTGATCCTTTTCCTTGCAGCTTTGGCCAAATGAATTGTGAGATCATCATGTGGCCACAATGCCCCATCGCCTCGATTGATGAAGCCATGCCATGGCACACGCACAAGCTTCGCTCACCAATCAGCAAGCCTCCCAAGAGGTCGGATCGATTCAAGGTTCATGTGAGGGGTCGGAGGGAGGCAGAGGCAGAGGCAGAGGCAGAGGCAGAGGCAGCTCGAGCTTCCAAGTTTCAACTCGATCGCATAGTAAAGCAGTGTCTGTCGTTGGCGCACAGAACGGAAGCAATGCCTATCCCTCCTCTCTTGGGCTCGGGCTCCTGCATCGTACATACAAGCTACTGCCCAGTGCTCTGGTACGGACCCAGGGAGATGGAAAGGGTTGACACGCCGGGGTCCCACAGTCAGATGACGGCAGGTTCAAAGCGCCACCTGCAGGTTATGATAGTCGTGTGCGTTGTTTCGGCATTCCTTCTGCACCATGACGGCCTGTCAGCGGAGGGCGGGCTGGGCGGGCTGGGCTGGCTGGCTGCCCAAGCATGGACGTGGCATGGACATGGCATGCTTTCCAGCAGGCTGGTTCGTGGACTCAGGGTACAGCCGTAGTGCAGGATTCCATTCCGAGAGTGAAGGCCGCACATGTATGGCGTTATCTGCATCGAGTCATTCGAGTGGTGCATGATCATTCAGCGCTAGACAACGAGCACTGGTGGAGAAGAGAAGCTACAGTACATGTATTCAATAATGCTGGCAGAGGCAGAGGCAGAGGCAGAGGCAGTAGGGACGGGACTAGGCACTAGGCAGGCCCGCAACACAAACACGACTTGCGGTGATGGAAAGACAGCCGTGAGATGTGCATGGAAGCTCGGCTGGGCTGTTCGAAAAATCGTCGACACGAGACGATCCGCGCGCGCACAAGTGTAAAGTTATCGCATCGCACCGCATCGTGCATGCATGCATCAAAGTGGCTTGACAATACACACGCCGGCCTCTCTGATGCGCCCACGCTACGCTATGCACACAGTGTTTAGTACGTAGAGAGCCTGTCAACGCAAAGCTGTCAGTGCCAGGGCAACTCCCAGCGGTCAGGCGGGCGGAGCCATTTGGCGCTTCTTCATTAGAGCCGGTCTAGGATGGTTGGCTTGTCGCTTCGCCGTCTACTGGTATAGCACGCTAATTCGACCAAAGACGTACATTCTCACAGTGTCTGCTTACACTTGCACACCACTCCAATGCTATAACGGTGACCACTTTCAATCCCGCCGCCCATCACTCCATTGTTCTCATGTAAGTCCTTCCCACACCACCGGACGACCAGGATTTGATGCCTTGAACCTGGCGCCCGGTACCGCCCTGCTTGCTATACACCGCTAAGGATTCTGCTAAGGCTCCAGTAGCATGACCACGCCACAACCCCAAAACAATGCCGTCGTTGCAGCGTACGGGAGAAATTACGCCCGCTTCTCCCTGGAGCAGAGAATACACTGTGTGCCGGTCGACGATGTGGGTATTCTGCGCATCTCGCCCGCCTTTTCCGCTGAGCTGACCTATGCAATCATCAGGATGAGGAGCAGAAATACGACAGTGTGAATGACATTCTCCGGCAGCTGCTGGGAGGACCAGTCTCGTGTGCGTCTCAGAAATGATGCGGAAGTTCTGGACTGCGGCTACGGAAAGGGCGCATGGATAGACTCTGTGCTCAATCTATCGGCCGATGCGCTGGTGAGTAACACTCATTTTCATATACGTGTCAAATGCAGTTCGCCCTGCACGCAATCCCCAGAGATCAGTCATTGGCCTCTTTGTCTGGCGAAGCTGCTCCAAAGCACACCTGAGCAGCTGTATTGTGACGTGCTGAACATCCCTTGCCCCGTCTTCAATGAGTGTGAGGAGCGGACGTGCTTACTCTGAGCTCATGGTGTTTGGCTGACGCTGCGCTTCACACACGATACTCCCGTCCATTTCGCAGTGCATTCGTCACTTCAAATTAGCGAGATGTCCAGGCTATCCCGCTGAACGCGAGACACAAGCCCGATTTCGCATCAATCTGACATTCTCCAGTGCACTGGTGTCGACATCTTCACCGGCGTCGGTGACGATGAAGTCGACAACGATGATGACCAGGCAGACGAAGACGACGAAGAACGCGGCATCGAAGTCTTTACGAAGAAGAGGTGGAATCTCAACGCGCCGTTTCGAGAGGACCGTAGCGAAGATTGTCTGAGACCAGAAACCTTCGACCTCATCAACAGCCGCTTGCTGGCCGATGGCATTGACAGCGATCGATGGCCGTCCTTCGTGAGAGATCTGCATGCGTTGTTGAAACCAAATGGCTGGGTGCAAATGGTCGAATTCCACTCCATGTTCCAATCGTCCACTGGACGTCCAACTGTTTTCCTGCAAGAATGGTGGAACAGGTACTCGGCAGTACTGCAAGCGACACGCAAGGATCCTAGAGTAGGTCCGCGACTCAGGCAGCTCATGGCTGATGCAAGATTCGTGGATATACAATACCATCAAATACCCTGCCCAATGGGCGCCTGGGACGAAGGTATGTCACTTTTGAGAATTGCACTCGTTCAGAGCTGACCCACGGCGCCAGATCGAGCTGTGCTTGGCCGACAAGCCCTACCAGTCTGCCAAGAGATGATCAGGGATGTATCAGAGTACCTGTTCAAAGCAGTGGGCCGGATGGAGGCTTCGGAATTCGACAGACTCATTGAAGGTGCGCAACAGGAGCTGGCACAGCCGGAACTGAAGATATACTTGAACGTGTAAGTGCAAGGCCTGACGATTTGCTGGCCTCGTCGCTGATCGGCATTGCAGGCACGTCTGTATTGGTCGAAGGGCGTCTCATCGAAGATGATGGTAACTGCAAATTGAGATGGGGCACCGAAGCATAGCTCTCACTTAGGGCCTTGTTCTGCCTCGAGATGCACGCTGTTTCGACTAGCTCGAACGCACCACTCTCCGCCAAGCGGCAATACGACAGTATGCCTCCAGAACATCTTGTCGACATCCATAGGTTGTCGATTCATTTCGACTAGTACCTTTGCGGTGTGGTTCAGGCCAGATGTCATTGAAGGAGCGCCGCCATCCTCTGACAAACGGGGCGAATGAATTGTGCTGGCTTTTACGAGTCGATCTGCTCTGGGTCGGACCAAGACCGTTCTCGAGGTTGTGGATGAACGAGTCCAGACAACAAGAACTTCGTAGGAGGGAGACTCGCCAGTTGGGCATTGGAATGGATGCGCCAAGTTCAATAGGGCCCGCATCGTTGATGTTGAAGGAGGATAGAGCTTGGTTTCTGTGCTGCCTCCGTGAGTGGGGTGAAAAGGGCAAATATTGCTATTATCGATGCGACATTCGGAAGAAGTGGACATTCGTACAAAAGATGAGGTTGCCATAAGGTTGTTGCCTCTCGAAGAGTCATGCCGCTTTCCTAGACCACATCTGTCTGCCCTGGACCCGAGGAAGCGGGAGATGGTGACGGGTAGATACGAACTCAATCCATGAACACGCCAGTTACAGTAACTTCATCACCTGGTGCATATCCTGAGGACCGGTAGCGGTAGCGAATAGCGAGTGGCTGGGATCGTGGTCTCATGCGTGGCAGACTGCCAATGGCATAGCCATATGCAAGGCTGCCGCGGCCGATGCATACTGACATCCTTCTAAGCGCTCGACTGCATCGAACTTGACCCACAAGAGCATTTTTGACGATGGTGCGCGGCCATGCGCGTCCGTAATGGAACTCTATTGCTGCTTGGTGCCCAGCCATCGTTGGCGCTTCGGGGGAGTCACGGCTCCGCTACCGTTGTGCTAGACCCGCATGAACTGGTAGTCACGTTACCTGGAACAGTTGAAGAAGCAGCTTCCAGACGTGATCGTGCGTGCATAGCCGCCGGAGCCAGGTCATCGTCGTCGTGCAGCTCATGCACGAGTGGCACCGCAGCTAATAAGAACACCATGAACAAAGCAGAGGATCACACCGACAGATCCCAAGAAGCAGTCACTTTCAAATGGCCAAGTGAGGTCGTTTTAAAGCATTTCTTTAGACCCAGTCACCCAGCGTGGCGCATAATGTATCATCTAACCATCCCGGTCTTGGAACTGGCCTAGCCTAGGGTTTTCCTAGCCTTCCCCTCCTATATATATTAGACGGATTTCGCCACGCCTTTTAATGCCGCTCTAGGTGCCGCTCTAGCCCCTAATGTAGACTAGGGCGGCCTAATAAGGAAGTAAACAGTGCGCGTATACGTGTTACCTTTAGCTACCGCTCTAGCGCTAGAGCGGCCGCTCTAGTACCGGATTAGATCGCTAAGTAAGTAAATATAGCTTAGTATAGTAGAATTAGCCGTAGGTACTAACTTCGGGCTTCTAGCCTCCTACATATCGCGTCGACTATTACTATAAAATAGATTAGTATATTAGTTGCTAGTAATAATGTCTTATAAGAATAGCTTCTTAAAACCCTCGTTAGTCGCCTTTATAGCTATTTCCTAGTCTCTAACCCCTATACCGACTCTATAACTACTAAGCGCTATTTAGCCGCCTAGTAATAATATTAACTTTAGCTATTTCTATAGACCTTCTAATAGCTAGCTTATCTATAATAAGCGTAGTAAACTAGTCGCTTTGTCGACTAAGTAACAGACGACAATACCTTAACCTATTGCTTAGTATCTTACCGCCCTTCGAGGTAAAATGCCTCTACTAAATACGCCGTAGCCGCTTAACCGCAAGGCGAGTAAATCTGCTCGAAGAAAGGCGAGGTTAGAGGCTTAATTAGAAGCCGATTAAGTAGCTATTAGTATAATTAATAAAGAGGCGCTATGAGCGAGTTAGCCTATAGGCTCTACTAGTCTTACTAACTATTAGAAGGTCGTACTTAGCAAAGTAGTATTTAAGCATATAATAATGCTTAGTTAGCCTAAAATATAGGATACTATTAGCCTAGCATTTGCAAGAGAGACTAGATTTACTTACGGAAGCTTAAAGAAGGTATTTAAGGCAATACTAAAGGTTTATAACTAATAGCGCGACCCTAAGCAAGGTAGCACCTATATAGACTCTAGCACTAAATTTAATAACGAATATACTAATCGGCTTAGTAAAATAAAGGCGGCGATTGCTAAGAAGCAATAGTTAGCTAAAGATAAAGCGAATGCTACTAAGAAGAAGGAAGATAAGGCTATTAATGCTTAGCGAGTAAGACTAAACCTTACTAAGAGCTAGAAGGGCAAGGGGAAGAAGAAAGCGCCCTTACTAGACCCCGAGTCTAGTAGTAGTAGTAAGTCTAATACTTATATTAATAAAGAAGAAAATAAGATAGACGAGGAAGTAGAGCGGAATAAGACTAATCTACTAGAAACAGTCTATCCGGAGGCAGACTTTAATAAAGAGGCGGTCTATAATTTATAGACTCTAGCGGCTTCTCGTTCCTTAATAACGCCGGCCTCTTATTCTTTAGCAACGCTACGGCTAGTCGGTAGTACTAAGGCCTCTAAGAAGCGCAAGACAAAGCGAGAGTTAGCTAAAGAACCTCCGACGATAGAAGCTAGTATAGCGGCATTAGTACGGTCGTTAAATAGCGGCGAAGTAGACGAGAATAGTTAGTATAAGCTAAAGCGGCTAAAGAGTAATGTTAGTACGCTAAAGGCTTAGAATAACACTATTCTGTCGCTCTTAAAGAATATAGCTAGCTACTAAGAACAGGGCTCTAAGTAAGCAAATCCGGTATAGGAAGGCCCTCTAGCAATTACTAAGGGTATAGAGGTCGATCTATCCTATATAGAATTAATTAGGGGTACTTATAGTAAAGCAGAGCTATAGGAATATATAGCAGCAGGTATAGACCTATTCGATCTAATATAAGAAGGGTATGTTAGCAGGTAGATAGGGTAGTAGTAGGTATAGGTAGTATTCGATAAGGATCTAGGAGGAGAGGGAGGAAGGCAGAAGAGTTAGCCTAACGCTAAGCGCTAAGCCCTACCTAAGGCACTAAGACCCTAGCTTCACTCGGCCTAATTATATGCCAATTACGTATAACCTCTTTAGCTCTAATATACGCTTCCCTTCTAAAGGCCGCGCCCTCGTAGCCTATCTATATTCTACGACCTCTATTGCCGCTAACTTAGTAAGTCTAATAAGCTGCTTAGCCCGCGCTAAATTAAACACTTAACTACCTAATTATGTAACTATATCAAACCTTACCTTCTAATACAATGTCTAACTTCTAACTGCGCTATCCCTATATACAATAAACTGTAAAGTAATATGTGTCTACAAGAATTGAGGGCCTTCGACTAATTATAATACGAGCGCGTCTTCCCTGCTATAATAGGTAGACGTACGAGGTATTATAGCCCTGCCTCCGCTCTAAGTGATATCGTACCGAGTTCTTTGCGTCTACTCTTAAAAGACCTAGTAATGTCCGCTTCCGAGGGTTTGTTCGCTTCCGAGGGTTATTGTTCTTATTGTTCGTAGTTTCGCTAGCCCTAATTAGCTAGGTTTAGTAGCCTTTAAGTGTTAATCTTATCTTGTCTTTTTAAAAAACACAGCTCGTCTAGTTTCTATAAGTAAAGGCTATTATAGGTATAGTAGTTGTGAGAAGGGTTATATTAGCAGGTAGATAGGGTAGTAGTAAATTAGTATAGTATTCGATAGAGATCTAGGAGGAGAGGGAGGAAGGCAGGAGAGTTAGCCTAACGCCAAGCGCTAAGCCCTGCCTAAGGCACTAAGACCCTAGCTTTACTTAGCCTAGTTACATGCCAATTACGTGTAGCCTCTTTAGCCCTAATATACGCTTCCCTTCTAAAGGCCGCGCCCTCGTAGCCTGTCTATGTTCTACGACCTCTATTGCCGCTAACTTAGCAAGTCTAATAAGCTGCTTAGCCGCGCTAAATTGAACACACAATCACCGATTATATAACTATATTAAACCTTACCTCTACTACAACACAATGTCCAACTCTAACTACGCTATCCTTATATACAATAAAGTAATATATAACTACGAGAATTAAGGACTATCGACTAATTACAACACGAGCGCACCTTCCCTACTGCAATAGGTAGGTATACGGGGTATTATAGTACTGCCCCCGTTCTAAGTGATATCGTATCGAGTTCTTTGCGTCTACTCTTAAAAGACCTAGCAATGTCCGCTTCCGAGGGTTTGTCCGCTTCCGAGGGTTATTGTTCTTGTTATTACGAGGGCTATTCTTTACTTTTAAAAAACACAGCTCGTCTAGTTTCTATAGGTAAAGGCTATTATAAGTGCAGTAGTTAAGGTTCGCCTCGCTTAAAGGGTTAGAAAGATCGAGGAGTAACCTATTGTCCGTAAGATCGACCCCGGCTAGCTTAGCTCTATAGTTTTGCCCTTAGTTAGTTAGTCTATTAGTCGCTCAATCTTTTAGGCGGCTCAAAGTTTTGACTTAGCCTTAAAGTTTTGATCAAAGTTTGATTAAGGTGCCTTAGGCTCGTAGTGTAGGTAAGGTTGTGTCTATAGGCGTAGTAACAAATAGTAAGTAATGTTAATAATAGCGGCGCTAGTCGTCTTAGCGCTAACTTTACCTTCTTCTAACTTCCTTCTTTAACTAATAACAACTCGATAACACCGTTACTAATATAGCTATGTCCTTCCTTTCTCAAATAGCAACACACTCCGCAACACTATTACTAATATAGCCGCGCCGGCCGCGCCGTCGTTATTATTACTATCGCTATTTACGCGCGCACCGTCCTCGCAGATCGCCTAGGCCTTAAGGCCTCGATAGAATAAAGGAACAAAAGGGGGACCTATAGGGCACGTTAGTAAAGAGGTAGAGTCCTTAAAAGAGCAGGCAATTAGTTAACGCGTCGTAGCGCGCCTAGTGTAGTCTTATTATCCTTTGTTACTAACAATTGCTTGCCTCTAATTAGTTAGCTAATAGCACCCCGGGGATAGCATTGTTCCTAGGCGACATTATAGGCCCTTAGCCTTCTTCTTATTCTTTACACTAATCTAATACTTATCTAACAACTCGGTTATGTCTTTAAAGGAACCTTCAGCTTCCTATAAGTCCTATTCAGGTGAATAGCCTTACTATCTTAATAGGTACTCCTTCTTGCCTTTTCTAGTCCGGTGCTACAGGATACGTTCTATAGACTATAGCTCTTTACTATCCGCTAGTATATCTTCGTGTTTAGTAGGGGCTTCATCCCCTTCGCGTAGGTAGTACGGCTTAAGGAGGGATATATAGAAGGTGTCGTAGATAGTGTAATAAGGTAGAAGCTACAACTAATAGGCCTATATACCCTTAGCCTCTCGAATGCGGAATAGGCTAATGTATCTTAGTGCGAGCTTAGGCCTTGTTTTGCTATTAGGTAATAGGTGCTTGCGGATACGGAGGTTCTTAGTGCTTAGCATAACTATGTCGCCTTATTTGAAGGTTATTAGCGTATAGTGCTTATCGTAGTAGGTCTTTTAGTACTCTTAAGCCTTTGTCAACTTCTCGGCTATCTTAGTATAGATTTCTC